GATTATTACAAAGGCCTCCAAAGATTATCAGGGCATTTGATTGATAAAACAGCCCCCATAGCAAAATCAGAAGAGTTGGTCTCTAGCCGGAACTCTTTGTCTAATTCTGGAAATGCTAATATGGGTGCCGTTGTAAACACCTGTTTAAGCTTATCAAAAGCTTCTTGTTCCTTGGTGCCCCAGTGCCAAACAATGTCTTTCTTTGTGAGATCGTTCAACGGTCTCGCTATTTTCGCAAAGTTTTTGACAAATCTTCGGTAGAAATTGCCTAAGCCAATGAAGGCCCTAACTCCTTTGACACAAGTAGGTTCTGGCCAATCCAATATAGCTTGAACTTTCTCAGGGTCCATTCTGATTCCGTTCTGGCCTATGATCATACCGAGAAAGTCTACTTCCTTTACTTTAAAATTACATTTTTTGGGTTTAACGAATAGGTCCCGTACATGTAAGCGTCAAAGGACTTCTTGCACGATCCTGTCATGCTCAGCCTCATTGTCCGACTTCATGAATATTAACAAATTGTCAATGTAAATGACGACACAGTTTTCCATATCCGCAAAGATCTCGTTCATCATGCTCTGGAAGGTCGCCGGTGAATTGGTCAACCCAAAAAACATGACAAAGGGCTCACAGGATCCTCAGTGGCACGCAAACGCGGCCTTCCAAGCATTTTCTTCTTTGATGCGTACATTATTGTACCCCCATCTGAGATCCATCTTTGTTAAGACCTTGGCACCAGCCAATTTGTCTACTAGCTGACTGATCAAAGGCAGCGGATACACATTTTTCACTGTGTACTCATTCAAGTAATGATAGTCCATAATCATACACTTTTTACCATCCTTTTCAGGGATGAAGAACACCGGGGACATCATAGGGCTTTTGGAAGGTCTGATATATCCCTTGCTAAGCTGTTCATCTATAAAACTTGAAACCTCATCTCTTTCTGGAGCAGAGAGGGGGATCATGTGTCCCTTTCTAGGTTTGAATGTGTCCTTCAAATCTATAGCATGGTCTCAAGGCTTAGCCTCTGGGAAGCGCTCTGATTTATGTTTAGAAAAGACTTTCCAGAAGTCATGGTACCCGGGAGGTACCAGCCTCTTAATCTCTTCCTCGGGTTTTACCTCGTCATTGTCATTGTCAATCTTTTCTAAAGATCTGAGCTTATAAATGTGACCAGCATTTATCTTTTTGAGACGCTCAGTTTAACGGATGTGACTCGGCTTACCCAAGTTCTTACACTCCTGAGGACAACGTGACAATGTGACAACCCCTGTTTGCCAGTTGATCTCAGGATTGTGTTTAAATAGCCAGGTCCAGCCCAAGATTAAATTAATCTTCCCTAGTTGGGTAGCTTTGGTGGTGACTCATTCTCTGTGTCCTTGGTACTTGACAACAAAAAGACATTTGTGCGTGATACAGCCACCCATGTTAAGCGTACCGTCAACGTTATAGATGGGAATGGATACATTTAATTTTACAAGGGGGAGTCTAATTTGCTCCGCCCAGACCTGATCTATGAAGATGTCATTAGCGCCTGAATCAAGCAGTGCGCTAGTTGGGTGTACTATGCCCCGGGCAAGGTTTTCCACGCCAACGTCTAAACGGATCTCCTTTTGGAATAAATATGTGCACATCAACACATGCTTTGGGATTTTGGGGAAGGGTGGCTCCAAAGAAGAAGAAGAATTGAGAGAAACATGTTTTTTTACTTTGATATTTTCTATGTTTTTATTTTTATTTTTACCAGAATTAAGCACCCTATTGTTTGTCTCGCCAGGGCCGAGCTCCAAGGGAGATGCTGGTACAGCGGTGGTTTTGTAAGTATTTCTAGTATCAACTCCTTCATCATCTTGACCCACTGAATCAGTGCTCAAAGCAGCTATATCATCAGGAGGGTCCGAGACAAATCAACAGTCACAGCTTTGCATACAAGTACATACTTCTGATAACACATTTAGAAATCTATTTACAAATTGGGGAGCCACCCCTGTCTTTTTTTTATTGCTTGTGCAACACCCCAGAGCAGGGGCCACCTCGTTGTGGTTTACTTCATTGTTCCGAGGAGCGAAGGCACCCAAGTGACCTACGCTCTGAATTTTTTCCCCTGGGTCTCCATGTCAGTGACCTGCTGGTTGTAAAAGAAGGCCCGGATTTCGTCGTATGAACGACTGGCCAGAGTGTTGAGCCAATCGTCCGGCTTTTCTGTTTCTAATTGGCGCGCCTGGCACCCTTGGTTATTTTTTTGTTGGGCGGCCTGCACCCCATTTCTACAGTCTCGGGACATGTGTCCTTCTTGGCCACAATTGTAGCAGTTCCCTTTGAATCTGCGCATCTGTCTGCCCTGGACTGCGCTAATATCCATAGGGGCTCCCTGCCCTGGTTGCAGCCCAAATAGCTTGAACCTGTGAGAATGATGTTTATTTTGGTTTGATGACCCAGGGCTCCTCTGGGAAAAGTTGTTTCTAGTGGTGGATCCGCCACCCAATTGCATCGTGTAGAGTTCTATGGCCCTACCAATCTTTCGAACCTCTTCAGCAGCTGCTGCAAGGTTCTCACTCCGCATATCTTGTATGTAAAGTTGTTGTGCAATGGCCGGTGACACATTGCGCTCCAACAACTCTACGGCATGTTTATTTCCTAGACCCCCTTGGATAGAGAGGGCCAGGAACCGGGTAACAAAATTGTCCGTCCTCATGTTTCCTTGTTTGAAGGTACAGATTTGCTGACGCGCCCAGTCACGCTCAGCTTGGGGTTTGAAGTATTTTTCAATCTCGACTTTGAGATCATCCCAGGTAGGCCACACACCCACGGTGTAGCATCCCTGAAGTCTTACTTGGGTGTATCGACCCGCCACAGGTCCTTTGACTCTTGACAGCACAGCTGTCGCTATTTCAAAATCATCAGTGAATGCGTCCCAGTTCGCTTTGATCCAAATTTGGAGCTTGATCCACCATACGGCAATTTGAGCCCAATCTCCTTTGAAAGTGCCAGGGTCAGCGACAATCTCAACTTTCTTGTTGAACTTCCACCAACCGTAGGTTCCGTTGCTGGGGCAGCCTGAATCTCGGCAAGCTGATTTGTCAACGCCTGAATCTGTGCATGCATATTGTGCAGCAGACTTTTCATATCTGGTTGCAACGATATGTCAACTTGTTCTCTTTGGTAATGTAAAAAAAAGGTAACTGGGGGTCCCCACTTGCTATCTGCGGATCAACCTCTTTACAGCTGAGTATCGGATCTCAATCTCCGACTACCCACACTATAGTATTTGAAATGTATATAAAAAGTATCTTAATAAACCCTGGTCCGAACAGGGGTTGGTCCGCTTGTTAAGCTGTCAACCCTTCTCCAGACTGGCAGAGGCAAGTGTCCGGCCTGGTCAGAGGAAAGAAAAAAAGAAGTTTTTGTATGTAAATTCTAATCAACAATAGTTCCACACTATTGCTGAGCTAAAGTACTCCCCTTCACGCTGGGGGCCACATATCAAAATTATTGTCTCTTCTCCCAAAGCACTACAAAGCCGTCGCTAGGAGCGCACCTATCTGCTATGCAGGATATTCCCAAACAATAATACTATCCCCTTAACCCTGGGGTCCGGGTTTGCACAATGTGCAAGAGAGTAGAAAGAGCGAGTCCTAATGTAACAACCAAGAGTTAGTTACTCTGGCGCACAACTAGAACAAACTATAAAGGTAGTGATGAGGGAGTGGTTACACCTTAGGTAGGACCGAGTTAGTTGTGGGTAAACAACAGGAGGACTCGCTGAGGAGTCTCCTGGATCTATTGGGGTATGTATACTACTACAGGTTTGTTTGTACATATGTACTATACAGTTGATGAAGGCAGTGGCTGATGATGTCATGGGCACAGCCTGTGTGACCAGCTCCACTGCGTGAGATACTTGTAGCTAAAATAAGAAAGAAAGCAGTGCAGTGCGAGAAAAAGGAGTTTGAACCAAAAGGAAAGTGCCGCATGGCACCAGGTGTGAAAACTACAGTATAAAGTTAAAGAGGAGAATGAAAATCAAAGATCCAAAAATTGTGTATCGTAACACCTGTAGTAAAACACAATATGATAGTATTAACTTATAAAGAAACCTAAAACCTGACTATACAACTGCCACACACCTTATTTGTCAAGAATGGAAAGACAGATCCACAAGACTTGCATTGAGGCAACTCCTATAGATTTTTGTTAGTAATCTTTTGATAGTGTAATACCACATCAACATACCGTTATTGACATATCATGTGGATTTTGCTGTTTTTTGGCACATTTAGAGCATTCATCAACCTCCAACCTTGGAAACTGTTTTGAACAGCCAGAACAGCTGTGCTTGGTATCAGAATGAGCAACAAAGCTTAACAGAAGATTGATGTGGCTGACATACAAGTGTGATCTGCTAAGTAAAACTTGCTAAATTGTGAAATGGTGATGTGTGACAACTTGGAGTTCACCTACATATCATGGGAATACCACTCTATCCAAAGTGCTGGAGCACTGGGTTGGCGCCATTGACAGAAACCATGGACTTCATAGCTTAGTGCAACTGAGCAAACATCAGGAGATGAGGAGAATAGCAAACTCTATCCATGATGTGACATGGCAGGGAGAAGTGTATTACATAATGATGTGGTGTTGGTCTGGTTTGAATTCCCAGGGCTCGGAAACTGAAATAACCTCGCCTCTACTTCCCTCCTACAATAAATGCTGCCAAAGACAAAATCTTGGATCGCGAGGACAGTATAAGCGACGTAGACATAAAAACTTCTCTAATTCGTGGTACCGTCCACAAGACAAATAAGGATGGTACTAGGACTGCCCGAAGGACGATGCTATCAATATTGCTTAAGACCAAGCTAAGAAGAAAAATGTTACAACACTCTAGGCAATGGGGTGCAGTAAATAGTCATTTGGCACTCAACAACCATTGGGCAAAACATCACACTGATTAACTGTCATACACCTTTCATTTTAGACATGTCGTGCACGACTTCGCCTTCGAGCCATGTAGATTCATAAACATCGCCCATTGTGTATAATGCAATAGGTCGGCTAAAGAACCTTGGTACAAGTTTGGAGATAGTGTCAGAGAACTGCTGTAATTTCAAAGCAACAATGTCAAAGGGTGCTCAAGGTACCCCTTGAACGCTGAAATCCATTTCGCACCAACCGCGCCGTCTACAGTCCGGTGATCCAAACTTAGTGTAACCTTCATAATCTGGACGGTTTTGAATTTATGACTTTCTTCGGGAGCTGGTACGATAGTCGGTTTTATTGCGCCGACAGCGAGAATACACGATTGAGGCGGATTTATAATCGCAGTGAAATTGTCGACGTTATACATGCCGAGATTAGAAACCGTAAACGTCCCACCCTGCACGTAGCCGTAGTGAGAAAAAAGTTGGGACAATTTGATTTGATTTCGATTTCCAGTCTCTTACCTGATATTCGTGAGGAGCTAACTTTCCATTGCGAGCTCTCTTCGCAAGATCCTTGGATTCAGACGAGATAGCCGCAAGTCCCTTGCTTCCAACATCCTTCAGAATAGGAGTGATCAAGCCATTGGGGGTGGCGACTGCTATACAGATGTCAGCATTCTTATATCTAGTGCACAATCCTCTCAGTACAGTACAGAAGAATGTTTAGTGAGTTTGCTTACTGTCTTATGAAGTCCCCCAGCCATGCAGAGTTGGCTTCAGGCACATCAGTTAGTGCAGATGCAATGGCCTTTATAATAAAATCATTTAAACTGAGTTTCAGTTCAGTGCCTGAACTTTTGTTAAAAAGTTCCCTGAGTCTGCCAACCTGGTCCATGTCAACGTCGGCGGAAATATAGTAATGAGGGAGTTCCTGCTTTGATTGAGTGAGTCGACTCGCGATGGTACGTCGCATGCTAGAAAGGGAAATATCTGTATACTCCTCTTGAGTTGGCAACGTAGCTGGAGTAACAGGTTGTGGAATAGGTTGATAATTTTCGATATCCCCACGGATTATACGGCCTCCAGGACCAGAACCTTTGACCTTGGAAAGAGGTATACCTTCCTTCAATGCAATCATCCTCGCTATAGGAGATGCAAACAAATTAGTTGATTTGAAGCCTACGGTTGTGCTGTCACGTAGGTTCGGCTCCTCATGCCTAACAGGCTCGCTCGAAATATCTGACTGAGAGGTTGTAGACAGTTTTGCCTCGGAATCATGATCAACTGCCATGTCTGCTAGCATTTGATCGGCTATGGCGATGTCGTCGCCTACTTCTGCTATAATGGCTATTGGTGAACCAACACTGATATGCTTCATGCCTTCTCCAACCTGTGTGCATTTCAACATCAGCCCGAGCGATAAGACAAAATACTGACAATAATTTTCGCTAGAACACCATCGTCTTGGGCTTCTACATCTATAGTCGCTTTATCAGTTTCCTAGTGGAATGGTCAATCCTGAGGACAAAAGAAAAGAAAATGGACACAAACCACTTCAAGCAAAACTTCACCAGCTGAAAACGAGTCTCCTTCGCCCTTCTTCCACGATGCTATCCCACCATCGGTCATGGTCGGGCTCATGGCTGGCATAGCAAATTTCGAAAGCGCATTTCGCTTGTGTGAAATATGTAAATCTATGAAAAGAAAAACCTCAGCCTTCACTCGACCCCCATAGAAAACAAACCTACGCCGAGCCACAATGCGTGATAACGTGGCCATACTGAAGAAGTGTAGGACAAATTTTACGAAGAGACGACATGTGACGTTGGAGACTTTATGATTGTTGTTGAAGTTCCCACGCCTCAAATTTCTTTCCGAATACTCCCTTCTCCAACCCGTGGCCTCCACATTGTTTTGCTATATAATAAATCATAGCGGCGCAGGGCGCCAATCCTTGACTCAATTTTTCAGACAATTTACCAAGTAAAGTCATTAAGAAAATGATACAGTCTATATATTCAGTAGACGACAACATTTGTAACTATATAGGTCAGACCAAGGTTCACATAATATAGGTAGGGATGGTAAAGTTTGATTTGGTTCGGTCCTCGGACACTTTTGTCCGAACCCCGAATTGAACTTGCATTAAAATTGGTTGAACTGGGTGGTGGGTGGTGTCAAGGTTGTCAGTTTGAACCTGTTTGAACCCAGTTTGGGCAGTAGCAACAATGCCCGAACTGTGGACTGAACTGAGGTTCCTTGTTCTGAATCATTTATCAGAACTGAACTTTACCATCCCTACATATAGGGCATGGCTGAGACAGTGATTTGTTGTATATGGCCAAAAAAGTACAAAAGAAATTCAGTGCAGCAATTAGTTAATCATTTCATGTGAAACCCAGAAAAGGGCATTATCACTGGAAAAGTGCATGAATAATGCACATCAACCAGAAACTGGTTGAAACTGGTGATTCAGAATTACGGTGTGGTGATTCAAAGTTAGGTTACTAGTGGATTGGTGTGAGGTATCCTGCCTTCATTATGACCTGTGAACCAGGTGATTTTCACCACTGTGCACCAGGAGACGAGCTGAACTCCAAGGCTGGTTTTTGTTCAGCAACGAATACAAAGCTATATAACAAAACTCAATGCCTGGTCAAGTCTTTGATGAAAAGCAGTGAATCAGGGTATGAGAGTTGAAGAGTATTGGTATAGGCGCGAATCCAAACTAATATTGAATTAAGGAATAATACACCCAGTATGTACTTCCTTATATAGTGAACAGTGAGGGTCAGACCAAAAAAGGGAAAGGGTAAGAAAGTGGTCTGACCGAAAAACTAACCAATAAGAAAAGAAAAGGGAAAGTGGTCTGATCTATTGTATTTACTAATCATATGAGAGAAAGTCTTGGCTGTATTAGTAAGCCCATGAGAAGGCACTGATTCATAGCCTACATCGCTGATCAATATCCCTCTGAAGTATTCCCGGACATAGCATTGAATCATTGCTATGTCATTTGGATATCTTCTTGAGGGTCTACAATGGTTCTCCTTTGTTGTAAGTACTATAAGACATGAGTATAAATGGAAAATGTTACGATAACACATTTTCGGACTTTCCCTTTACTTTTATTCTCTGCCTTAACCTTGTACTTTAACCTTTACACAAGGTGCCACGCGGCATTTCCCTTTCTCGTGCCGCGTTGCCTTTCTTCTTATTTTTAGACACAACTCTCTCACACAGTGGAGCTGGCCATGCGGGCTAGGCCCCATGATATCATCAGCCACTGTCTCTATCAAACTGTATAGTACACATGTACAAACAAACCTGTAGTAGCATATATACCCCAATAGATCCAGGAGACTTCTCAGCGAGTCCTCCTGTTGTATACCAACTAACTCTCTGCATCTTAAGGGGTAACCACTCCCTCTTCATTTTCTCTATAGTTTGTTCCTGTGTGTGCCGGAGTAACTAACTCTTGGTTGTTACAGAAAATAAGAAGAAAAAGGATAAGAGTAATAGGACACTGGCTGTAATCTCTAGTCCTAGGGCAAGAGGAGTGACGGGGAATGAATTAAATAACCACAACATGATGGGAGTGCGATGAGAAAAATTGATTCCTCACAGTTTTCAGTGCACTTGTATATTTGCTGAGGCTTGTGAAAGAATATGATCTGGCCAGCCCTTCATACAAACATGATGGCATTGTACTATATTTTGCCAACACAGTACCCATTGTATGGTTGTGTTTGCATCACCAGTGGCCTGTTCTATTATAGAGGTAAGTAATTAATAGTATTAAATGGAGACTTGATACTGACAAAGCTTCAGGTTTATTTCTTTTTGGATTGTGGCCCAGAGAGCTGACACCCTCTGCTGGTGATTCTGAGAGGTGTCTAATTCCTTATATCAATGATAGCAAAGTCTTCAAAGGTAAAATATTACCTTTGGATCCATGCATCACGAATCCCTCCATTTTACTAATGATATCATTATCATTTATACACATGACAGAGCCCATGAAATCTGAACACCTTCAGTGGAAAATGCAAGTCCACGCAAAGACAGATCAGTGGATCCCCACACAGCGTATAAAATAGTTTTGGCTCCAGTACGGTATTGTCAGGCAACAAGCTGAGCCATGGTGAGTTTCAAGAATAATGATGTATATATTACTTAACTAACTTTATTTTCTACCAGCTGTGGTGTGTTGCTAATATCATTGATTCTGTACTTTAATTTATCTTGTGCTTCAAGTACTCATCCAGAATCTGTGATTTCTTGTCTTCGGTGAGGGCATAATACTCTGCCAAGTTATCATGTACCAATTTCTGCAGCATATCCCGGTACCTCCTACAAGGAAATGTTATGTGGTATGTCCATGACAAGTAATGAGCACCAGTACCAACTGTCCTACAATTGTTTTTCTCTGATCAACAACTCCTGTTCAGTAAGTATGGTGTATGTTTTGGTCAAGGTAATTGACAGCAACATTGGAAGAATTCCCCTGGTCACACTTGTGTAATGACTACTGTGTATTCTTCAGGCTATTCAAACTTAGTACTAAGGTCTGCTCCCCATTTTGTCCACAAGTTATTGCTATGAAGGGATAATACCCAATCTGCTGGTAGTCTAAGCCTCAAGCTTCAGTGTCATGTAGTGTGGATCAAGATCTAATGCATGTTGGATAAACAATTTTGCTTTTTGGGCAAATAATGTCTTTGGTTCTGAAAACCACCCCAAACAATGATATAAAAATCTTCAGCACTGGTGCACTTGAAGATAGATGTCCACTAAAATCTGCTATCAATGTAAAATAAAAATAAAAGTTTCATAGTTGCTTACTTTGCAGTCTATAGTGGTGAAAGTTGCATTGACATCTTGCAGGATTGCCTTTGAATTTGTGCGCTTGGCTTGCAGTTTTGCACTTTGTATATCTAGGATCTGTAATTGTAGTTGTAGTTATTCTGCGGTGGTTAGCTTCTTGTATTTTTTTAATAGGTTTCATATTTTTTGCAATGCAATGAAATCAGTAAGTTAATAATGATCCCTGTGCTCACAACCTTGTAATAATATTAATAGCAATGAGCTAGTTGGATTGTGAGAAGTGATTTAACTGCCTGTGTACAACTGGGAATTTATACACTTTAATGACCTAGTGGTTTATGGTAAGTTTTTATATGGTTTTCAAGTAATAAATGCTACATACTGTTTATGCTTTTGAGCAATTTTATTGGCTTTTTATGTGTATCCTTCCTGGGCAGCAACTATATCATTTGTTAGCTCTACAAACATTTAGATAAGATTCAGAACAACTCAGTTGGCAGGATGTAATCAAATTTCAGGAAAATAGTCACACAAGGAATTATGTCACATGTGACATGTTCATCATTGGATTAAAGCTGCAGTTCAAGGATGAAAACAGTCTGGAAGATAATTAGAAATGATTTCAAAAAAATGCTGTGGATAAGGGTTGAATATAAGGAAGATATGAGTTTGAAATGTTTCATTATAAATGCTTAGGATCAATGATAATGCAATTTAGAGTGGATCCTTGGATAATTTTATAAATGTTATCTACAAAATATTCTTTTTATGTTGCCTGCCTTGAGCATGATCATTTTGTAAATATTTTCTATATAATATATAAGATAGTAGTACAATGATTGTACTAAAAATTCCAGACTCAAAGCTGTGAGGATAGGTAAATGATATTAGGGATTATATTTTAAAATTTTGCTTCATATATTCATTAGACATAATTGGTATATTTTTACATGAAAATCACTGTAAGATCATACTGCAAGTCTAGCTATTATAAGTTGATCCCCACAGTGAGTATTATCTACCTCTATGTGTAACTGAGCTGTGCTAGGAAATGCAAAAAAACTGCTAAGAACCTCTTAGTCGCTGCTGAAGAAGTTCACAAAATTGGTAGGGCCATGGAGCTCTACAAAATGCAATTTGGCAGTGGGTCCACCACCAAAAACAACTATTCCCAGAGGCACCCTGGGTCATCAAACCAAAATAACAATTATTCTCATGGGTTCAAGCTGTTTGGGCTGCAACCAGGGCAGGGGGCCCTCATGGATATTGGTGCGGTCCAGGGTGGACAGATGTGCAGATTCAAGGGTAACTGCTACAATTGCGGCCAAGAGGGACACATGTTCTGAGACTATAGAAACAGGGTGCAAGCCGCCCAACAAAAAAATAATAATTTTTTTACCAAGGGTGCCAGGTGTGCCAATGAGAAACAGAAAAGCTGGACAATAAGCTCAATACTCTGGCCGGTCGTTCATACAACAAAATCTGGGCTTTCTTCTATGATCAGCAAGTTGCTCAAATAAAGGCTCAGGGAACAGAGTTTGGAGCTTAGGTCACTTGGGTGCCTTCGCTCCTCTTAATGATGAAATAAACCACAATAAGGTGAACCCTGCTCTGGGGTGTTGCACAAGCAATAAAAGAAAGGGGGTGGCTCCCCATTTTGTAAATAGATTTTCAATTTGTTATCTGAAGTATATACTTGTGTTTAAAAATGCAATTGTAATATTTATGATACTACTGCTGCACCAGCGTCTCTCCAGGAGTGTGGCCCCGGTGAGACAACTACTAGAGTGCTTGATTGTGGTCAAAATAAAAATAAAAATAAAGAAAATCCTAAAGTAGAAAAACATGTTTACTTTGATTTTTTTTCTTCTTCTTCTCAGGAGCCACTTTCCAACAAAATCCCAAGGCATGTGTTGATGTGCACATATTTATTCCAAAAAGAGATGTTGGTGTGTAAATTTCTGCTCAGTGACATTGTGGGCAGATGCATGTCAAAGGTTGAAGTGTTCGCAAGGATTTTGTGGCCTAAAAATGCTAGATGTTAGAATGGGATATGAAAAATGGAGGGTAGGTCTTACCTGCAATTGCCACAAGCGTATTCCTGAAGGTGGTAGTATTTACCTCTGTATGGCACTAAAAGCTGGGAGCAGGAAGGAAATTCTGCATCTGCTAGATAGTACTTACCCTGCAGAATGTGAAGGTTGCTTGAATGAGCATCCTGGAATAGAGCGGCATTTGCAATAGAGCCCTCCCACCCACTGAGTATGTAAGAAAATTTGAGGTCAAAAGTGCAACAGGCGAGGCAGTTTTGAGATACCTTGCCTTTGCAGTTTTGCGATGCCTGGTGTTCAGCGGCAGATGGGGCACATGCAATGTGTGTCCCATCAATGGCACCAATGGCACCTTTGAAGCAGCAATATTTGGGATTTTTCATGATGTAAGGCAGCAGCAGGTTGTCCTCAGCAGGTAGATGGACATAGGTAACATAAATTTCTGGGGAGGTAGATGCAGCCAGGATCTTCTTGAAGTACCTAGAAATTGTATTGTTTGATCATTGGGATTGTTCGCCAAGATGGCGAATGGATAAGGCTATGACAGATGCATATAGGAAAATGGCGAGTTGTTCTTCAAGGCTAACATGCCTCAAGTCAATGTAATGATGGCATCTGAGTAGGTCAATCAACTTGAGGAAGACACGTGACGCAACACCAAGTTCAGCACAAATGCGGTTGGGATGGCCCTGCAGTAATTCAAGGACCCATCTATGGCCTGTCAAAATAGAGGTGTGGTATGGTTGGGGTAGAGAGTTGTCAAGTTGGTTGGTAGCTACCAGTGCTGCTGATTGCGTGACTGTTTGAAGACTGACAAGTGCAAGAAAGAGCTGTTGGGCACATTAGAGAATTATGGCATAGCGCCTACAGGCAATTGACACTTCCTCACTCTCTTCAACGCCCTCCTCTCCCATACTGTCATTGTCGCTACTGATCCCCAAGTCCCTCTGCCTGCCTGGGCCACGATTATTGACTTGATTTTTATGCATAGTCTCCGTCAATTGTTGCTGCATAACCATGAGTTTATCAATCTATCTTGTTGTATGTGGACACTCAATACATTGTCTCTCCACCTCAAGTGCCACTTTTGCAAGTCAAAACTCAAGAAATGTTGTGATATTCCGTTCCCGTACAGTATGACACTCTGTTTGCACTTTTATTCAAAGTGCGATAGCGAGAAATTTTCAGTGCAAAATATGGTGGACTGCGCAAAAAACAGATAAAAATTTGCGCAAGATGGGGTGCTGCACAAACAAGAGATAAAGACCCACGCAAAATAACGCCCGGTCAAGCCACTCTAGCCAGAATCTACTTCTACCTTGTACTTGAAACTATCTAGGTAAATTTGAACCTTTTGAAGTCATTTTTGGCCGGTTTTTACTTGAGGGGAAAAGCTCAACATCAAAAGCCATTAGATTGTAGAGTAAATGAGAAGAAAAAACCGGATATACTTTGAGAAATGTAGTATTATAAAAAAGTGTAAGTCAATAAGAAAGGAATGAACAATGTAGCCAAAACAACAGAAAATGATTGCTTGAACAACAACAACTCATGAACTGACTAAGGGCCACTTGAGGACATCAGTTAACTGGTAGCCAGCATTGAATGGGTTTGTGAAAGGAGTGGGATCTTGTCGCAACCAAATAGGATAGTCTTCCTGTTCCACATATTTAGAAGCACTTCAGGCTACCCCCCATCAAGGGCTCTTAGCTTGATCATATTAGTATCGATGATGGGGCTAAGAGCCCTTCAAAACCTGGTCCACCATGGCCCATCTTGCTATATGGTGGCAAATCCCAACTACTTATGGCACTTCCCAAACAATGTGGGACATCCCTAGAATGACTGATGGAGAATTGCCATAAGAACCATATGGAAAGTGCCAGACAAAATAATTCATGGTGAATTGCCATAATGTCACATGTCACTAGGTGTCTGGGGTCCTTTCTTATGGAAAGTACTGGCAATTCATGTGAACTACCATGCATACTATAAGTGAATACCTAATTAATCCACAATAAGACATACAGTTCCCTGATCAATACCCTAAATCAATAATTATAATTCTCTAGAGCAACATCCAATAGTTGAATATTTGGATAAAAAGCCACTGGAAGTTTTACTCTATAAAGTAAGTAGTAAGGGAAAATGTAGTCCTTCTCTCACAAAAGTTCTTTAGTTCAAGTATCAGAGTATTATGCTTGAAAGATTAATTATAATATAAAAAAGTCTATATCATAAAAGTCAGTTCATCTATACAAGGACTAGCTGAAGCTGAAAACATATTATGGAAGATATAGAGGATATTACAAGCCAGAGTGTCACTATCAACAAACCTAATTAATACCTTTATTGATATCTAGTATGAGATTGTTCAATAATGATCGCTGTTGATGGATATCTCTGCCACCTCTTACAGTCAAAACAGGCCTGGTGTGGAGTTTTAGGTGTGAATAATCTAATAAAAGTCACATACTATACTATTACAACTGTGGGTTCACTGCATCATGGTGTGACACGTCCAATAGTTAGGTTCCAACATTCAAAGGCCCATGTGATATATGATTAACCTCCAGAGAGGTTTGAACCTTAGTCAATATGCAACCAGAAAATCTGATTGTTTTCTCATATTTTTCCCACATGACATGTATCACAAAATTTAAGTTCAACTAATAAAAAACCTGTGACTGCCACATCAAAAATAGGTTCAGTTTGACCTTATTGTAGCCTGTGATAAATCAAAATGGGTTATAGGCCTTCAGCATATAGGATTAAAGGTGTGCTGCCTTCAGGGCCTTGCTCTTTTATTCTTGTACTTGGGGGGGATCTTTTCAGAAATTCCATGGGATGCCCTTTTTCATGTATGTAGAATCTATTGGAATTTTTAGCATGTGACCTTAATATCACCTGACCACAGGGAGTGCAGGAGTACATAAAAGCAAAGAGGACCAGCCAGGGATTGAACCCAGGACCTCTGCCTATATATGGTAGTGCTCTACCAACTGAGCTACCAGCCCTTGTTCAAATATCAACTTAGGATGTATGTTGTTTAACAAGACTAACAGGCTTTGACCTTGACTATTCCAACAGGATTTTGGTCTTCTACTTCCTATATGGGACATCCCCATATCTCCTTGTGGGACTTTAAAAACCTCACTGAGATTTCCCCAATCACTGAGGGACATCATTGTCACACTTCCCAAACACCAGTGGAATTTCCCATAACCTTTTCAGGGACTTGCCATGACCTCTGGGGGATTTCCCATAAGGTCTGTGGGACTTGCCATACCTTTGTGGGACTTGCCATAATATCTGTGGCACTTCCTATGCCTTTGTGAAACTTCCCACATTATCCTATATCCATAGCCATTAAGATTGCAAGGTAAATAGTACAGGGACAGGGAGAGGACACTTGAGGGATTGGATCAAGTTTTTGTTTCTTAAGATTTTCAGCCTTAGAATTGGAGACTTGATGTAAAGGTAAATAGGAAAGGAACTAGGTCGCAGGCTATTGCAACCTGTTTGCTTCTGTATCACCCACTATTTTTCTACCTCACCATGAGCTTCAAACCCTGATAGAATATGAAGACAATGACAATATTTGTATCAGTAATAACCTATGAAACCAATCTTTAGCATCATTAGGTCTGATATCAGCTTGGATGAAGATAGGAAGGGTGGCCATTCCTGCAACTTGAATGTCCTGTGTCTGCAATCATGATTTATAAGTTTATGGCCAGCCCTTCAATTGATGACCATTTATGCTTGGTAATGTGAAATGTTATATATTCAAACTGTCCCCCCACACGTCACAAATCAGTTTTACCAGGAGATATTTTGCATGACTGCCCCTGAATGTGCCATCAAGATACTATTGATCCCACCAATAGACTATTTTTGGGTAAAAACTGAGAGCAAGGAGAAAGTTCATTGTCACTATGTTACACAGTTCAATTGGCCTTGAAATGTTGTAGTAGCTATTAGAGCTAATATATATTAATGGACTGATAATGTATGGTTGGCAGAACATAGTGATATTGTGTGGAATAAAGCATCATTGAATAAGTCACAACCATTAATTGCGGGCCAGTAGAGCCTAGAGGTGTACATTTACATGATGACTGGCTACCAAACCATAAACGCATTCATAGAAAATATAGTACTATCAGTGCAATCATAGCTTTTATAGCTCTTATAGCACAGTAGTAGGTAAAATTTTAACCAAGGGGAGAAGTGTTTATAATTCCCTCAAACTCTGAATCAATCGAATAAACTTGTTCAATAATAGAAAGAGGCCAGAAGTGTTTGGAGTCAAGTATACATACTATTATAGGCAAGGTACTTATAGCCTATAGCAGCCTACATAGCTCCTATAGCTGTAAAGGTCATAGTTATAATATAGTTCAAGGTGCTTAAAAGGGCTAATAAATCATACAGTATTAATTAATTATGTAGCCTGTATTAGTGAAATAGTAGTTTGTATCCTTAATACTCAAATATCAAGAATAATTATTTATCCAAATATAAGTAGTGACAATGAGTAAAAGAATAATCTAAGTCCATAAAAGGTCAATATATAACACCTGTATAATATATTTTATAAGCCCTTATGGTGTAGTGGATAAATGTGATATGTGGCTATAGGTTGCTTAGTCACCCAAGAGCTATGAAGATTCTGTTAGCACCTGAATCAAGCAGTGCGCTGGTTGGGTGTACTATGCCCCGGGCAAGGTTTTCCACACCAACATCTGAACAGATCTCTTTTTGGAATAAATATGTGCGCATCAACACACACCTTGGGATTTCGGGAAAGGGTGGCTCCAAAGAAGAAGAAGAAGCAACATATTTTTCTACTTTATTTTTACCAGAATCAAGCACCCTATTGTTTGTCTTGCCGGGGCCACGCTCCAAGGGAGACGCTGGTACAGCGGTGGTTTTGTAAGTATTTCTAGTATTAACTCCTTCATCATCCTGACCCACTGAATCAGCGCTCAAAGCAGCTATATTGTCAGATGGGTCCAGGGCAAATCCACAGTCACAACTACACATACATGTACATACTTCAGATAACAAGTTCAAGAATCTATTTACAAATTGGGGAGCCATCCCCTTCTTTCCGTTATTGCTCGTGCAACATCCCGGAGCAGGGGCCACTTTGTTGTGGTTTACTTCATTGTTTCGTGGAGCAAAGGCACCCAAGTGACCTAAGCTCCAAACTCTGTTCCCTGAGCCTTCATTTTGTTGACCTGCTGGTCGTAGAAGAAGGCCCGGATTTCATCATAGGATCGACCGGCCAGAGTGTTGAGCCAATTGTCTGGTTTTTCGGTTTCTAATTTGCGCGCCTGGCGCCCTTGGTTATTTTGAAGTGGCCCACGCTCTGTTTGGACACTGTCGGGCCATGTGCCCCTCCTGCCCACAGCTGAAGCAGGTGAATCTGCGCTTTTGTCCGCCCTGGACCGCGCCGATATCCATTGGTGCACCCCGACCTGGTTGCAACCCAAAAGGTTGGAACCCGTGAGAATGATGTGATTTTTGGTTTGATGACCCAGGGCTCCTCTGGGAATAGTTGTTTTTGGTGGTGGTCCCGCCATCTATTTTTCTAACCTCCTCTGCTGCTTGAGAGAGGTTGTCAGTTCTCATATCTTGCAGATAGAGTTGTTCTGCAATATGAGGGTTTACATTACGTTCCAGCAGTTCTACTGCATGCTCATTACCTAAGCCCCCTTGTATGGAGAGAGCCAGGAATCTGGTCACAAAATTATCTGTCCTCATGTCCCCAAAACGGTGTATTTTTCTTGACTTCCATGGTATGAGGGTGCTGGGATGGACATTGAAAACAACCGACACACATGTATGCAGCAAAAATGTTAGGTGTGATGTGACAAACATCACAAGTCAAACTTTAATGGTGCACAGACCATCAACAGAGTATGAGACTCACCTTTTGGTATTTCCTGATGTTATATACTACAATTCGGCAGCATGATACATTAGTATTAAAAATAATTGCCTGAAAATGGTGGAGAATTGAGTTATATAGTGTGCTCACTGTCCAAGACAACAACAACAGACACTGACCTAATATGGATGGATGATGTGGCCCATTCTGCCTCGGCATGGAGCACATGGTGCCGCCATGTGCTGTTTCCACATTGAAATCTTCCAAGTGGCCTGAATGGCTGGTGTGCACCACCGGTGCTTAGAAATGGGGCTTTAAGGCTTTATTATCTGGTGCTATCTGGTGCAAGGTGCCACGCCCAGAGTGTGGAGTAATAGGTGACTTAAAGAGTGTCTTTTCATATGTGTAACAAACAAACACACATTAAGATGCGTGGATCATACCGAATCAACTATTCAAATCATTTTGGATATCTTGACCTTGATATTTGGTTCCTGGTACTATAGGTTACCAGGTCTCAGAACCAGCTATCGACACTACATTTGACCCTAGTGACTTGTACTGACCTTCTGCACTTGTTGATAAAATTGGATAATAACCAGACCAGGGATTGAACCTGGAACCTTCTGGATACATGTCAGCTGCTCTACCAATTGAGCTATATGGCCAAGGTTATACAATATAGGATCTTAAACATGACATGCAACGATGGACATCTTACCCAGTATAGCTGCTGCATACTGGATTGGCTTACAAATCAGAGGTATTATCCTATGGGGTATTGGTATGTCAGAGTATATTCTAACACTTGTGTGGTTAGACAAAACTGTTTGAAGACAAGCAGCTAGTAGATCCTGCCTCCTTTGATCATAAACTGCTAAGGAACAAGTTACTCCCTCACCACACCTATGTCCTACAATATTGCTCTGTACAACAGTGTGATACTCTATCATGCAGGTCTTCAACACACTGCTCAGTTAGGCAAATTACATATGCGTTCCTCTTGTCAGCACTCTCTTGTAGAGTGCAGGAAGCAACCCGTCAACTTCTGGGCAAATTTTCAATATTATGGATATGACATTTTGCCAGCAAATATTATTGATTGTGTTGATAGCAGCTTTTTGTTTGATCTGATGTTTGTTGCTCAATGTTGATCCACTCAGCTATTTTATCTTTTTCTCAGAAGGAAAACAGAATTTGTGCAGATCCCACTACTTCTCAAAGTTATGTGAAAGGGAATGTTGCTATATTGCCACAAGATACAATCAAAGTGCTAGAATTTTTGCCTCCCTCTCGAGAAGATATTGAGCAATCAATCACTGCATTATTTGTTGGTGCAGATACCATCATTAACAGAGACACAATTTGAAAATTACATCCTGCTCTTATTAGCAAGTGCAAAGTCAAAACTTTGCTTGATTTTCTGATAGCAAACAATCTGTGGTATAGACATAGTGGTGTATAGGTTAGCAATGAGAATTTCAAAGAATTATATGATGGTGATGATAATAATCAACTTTCCAGCGCTGTCTCTACAATATTGTGCCAGCCAAAGGGGATGGAAATTCAGCCACATCTGTGGTATACTATATGTGAGGAGCATGACACATCTTCTTCAACAGTGGAACCTGTTTATACACTTGATATCATTGGATATACAATTGGTGATTATTTGCCTGTAAGTTATAGAGTGATGAAAAGGACTGCTCTGGCCTCCTGTTTAGATGGGCATTACTTCTGCAGTTGCAAAGTGGTACTTTTTTGATGAAAGACAATGATATGGCTATGTTGTCACTTTTGTTTCCACACTTGGATCTATAGGGGATCAGACTTTTATCACCCACATCAAACAGAAAGTCAATGTATCTCATTTGAAAGTCAACTTTGCAATATGTTGATGCAAGGTCATGGATGCTTCCAATGTGATCCTAACTTTGTTTATATGTTCCAACATATTACAAAAAAATAAAGTCAATCAACAATTATGCTTTTGAGTTCCTTCTCACTTACAAGGCAATGTAGATGCTCAACTTGTCAAACATGCGCCTGGATTGACAGATTTTATCCGGCTTTCAGAGAAAAACCTGTCAGCAAAACCCATTAATACATATCAGAAAAAAGTGCTTAAACTTGGAAAAAAGTTGAAACTTATTGTGAAAGAAGTTAAGGGATCCACTGGCTACAAGTTGTGCTGCAAAAAAGAAATCTGAGCACTCATTGATTGGATGTATCCCATCTATTGGTACGAACACTGTGGTCTATTGCCAGAAGTATGGCAGGCCATGTCTCTGTATAAATGAAGCTTATTTGTGGCCAAGAACCCTGCAGTGGCAAGTCAGTTTTTCCATGTTATGATGAATCAATTTCTTAAGTTTGCTGTTCAACACGGCTCCCAATCCCCTGATCTCTTTGGACATAATGAAGCATGGTTGAAACCCAAGGACAAGGTACTTTGCACTGTCATCTCCTTCTGTGGTTACATGGAAACCCCAATCCACAGCAATTGTGGGATTACATGAAAGATAATCCTGCTTACCAAGAACATATTATCTTATGGCTGGAGTCCATCATAAAGTGCAAGCTGCCCAGAATTACTGATATTTTGCATGAAAGTGCAGGTGTGCCAATTATGAGACCTTCACGCCATCCAAATCTACAAGATCCTTGCCTTCAAAACTTTCCTTCTGAATTTCACAAAAAAGCTGAGTTTGAGCATAGGTTTCAAAGTTTTGTAAAGGAACTGGCTTGTAAAGCCCTATCCCTTTTGCCGAACTAACGGAGGGATAAGTCTTAAATCAAACAAGTAGTGTCAAGTATCGATGTTAAGAAGTAATCAACAACTAAAGAAAAGTATGTACATGAGTGTTCAGTATATATATATTTCTGAAGGTCAGCCATGAGGCGCTGACTGATATAACATGCAGTAGCCATGAGGCGCTAACTGATGTTCTACGTCATGGTCTGGATTCTGTCACGTGATTGTCATGTGACTGAATATAACTAGGTATTTGTGTTATCCGCGCTAATAGCAGCAGCTTAACAACTTATGTCTGTCATGTGATCAAAGAAAATGAAAAAGAAATTAGTGCTCTGGCTCAAGTCGTGACATGGCTATTACCTGTAATTGGCATGAGCATACTGTTACAATAACACAATTTTCGGACCTTTCCTTCCTTTTCATTCTCTGCTTTAACCTTGTACACTTTAGCTTTCACACATGGTGCCACGTGGCACTTCCCCTTTTGTTCAAACTCCTCTTTCTCATGCCGCATTGCCTTCTTCTTATTTTAGATACAACTCTCTCACACAGTGGAGCTGGTCATGCGGGCTAGGCCCCATGACATCATCAGCCACTGACTTTATCAAACTGTATAGTACATAAGTACAAACACTCTGTATTAGTATATATACCCCAATAGATCCAGGAGACTCCTTAGCGAGTCCTCCTGTTGTTAACAAACAAACTCTCTGCAGCCTAAGTGGTAACCACTCCCTCTTCACTACCTTTATAGTGTGTTCCAGTGTGCGCCAGAGTAACTAACTCTTGGTTGTTACACATACTGATACATACTGGAAGCACCTAAAACCTGGTGAACTGCATGATGATTCTTATTACAGGATGCAGATCAATGGGTCCACACAGTCTCTATCAGAGATAGACCTGATCACTGAGTCCATTTTGCCTCGTCAATTGCATCCTTGGATCAACAACTTCAACGGCATGGTGATTTTCTTGATGCACTGCAATATGAACATTAAGTATATTAGATTGGTCAAATATTTGGTGCTAATATGGACATTCAAGATTATTGTTGTCAAGAATCCGATGAATATTTGGAAATATGAGCTTGTGTGAATACAGTGAACAAGCCCTTAAGATTCTATTAAGATTAAGAATTGCTTGTATGTCTATGCTTGCGCCCACAACAAATGACGGAACAAATCCTTCTGATCATAGTGATTATCCATGTGCTCCTGGAAGAACACTGCTTCCTTGTGGACAATTGTTAGCTTCCTATCCACAAAAAGACACACATTTGGTGTACTTGCGAGAGGTTCCTTTTGTTCTTGTTTTTCTAGGTAGCCTATTGCCTTGAGTGGATTGGAGCAATTCTGTATATCTCCTTTGGTGCCGAGCTATGTTAATATTGTTTATACCATGGCACACAGTTTGTGACCTGAAAATAGTCAATGAGAGCTGGCAAGAGGCTTACAAATGTTATGACTTCTCACTATATGTGCGCCAGATCATTGGAAACAAACAGGAATATAAATATGCCTGTAACCAATCTGATGTGCAATAACAAAGCACTGCAAACCAATCAGTTAGCCTCAACGGTCCAAACTTTGAGCAAGAAGATATCTTATGTGTAGCCATTTTGCAGCGTAATGAGTGGGATGAGAACGATAGAGCTTTTGATGCCCTTGCTGCGGTGGAATCAGTGGTACAGCCTGATAAAAAGTTGGAAAAAGTTAATGAAGTACTCTCATGTCTGAACTGTGTGGGTGTAGTTGATGACACATTACAATACACACCTTCTGTGGTATACTCTCCTCCTGCACTGGCAATAGATGAGGACATGGCAAACATTTGAATACAGAGTTTGCTGATGAAAGGACTGGAAAAAAAAGGAAAAGACCTTGTGAAGATCAGCAGGATATTACACACAAGCATCCCAGAAAAGAACTTAAAGCAAACATTTCAATGATTCAACTATGTCTTGGAAATAATGATGGTATACACCAAGGCACTATGCCTACACTCAATTCTTGTACTCCATTACACATTTTACAATGTGTTATCACCAACTTTGGGCTTTTTGCTAATGCAGAAAAACAGCACTCTGTAGAGCTTGTGGGCGAGCATTACACTTCTAAAAGTGCTGAACAATTGATGCTTTACATTCACTCCAGGCATGGAGGCATCGAGCCTTGGGGTCTATTACAGGACCCGTGGTTACTAATGGAATCATTGAGATGTGTGCTTCAGGTTCGTTTCGGGGATGCTTGTGTGCAATATCCTGCTGATCTTGACAAGGTCTTTTCCTTTTTTTCCTAGTAGTTCTAGAGTGCAGTGTCGGCATAGTGCCGTGGCCATACCATCATTATTTGCAAGACATAGTGGAATCGGGCAAATGTTGGCTTTAAGTTCTTTTCTGGGATGCTTGTGTGAATATCCTGCTGATCTTCACAAGGACTTTTCCTTTTTTTTCCAGTCGTCTCATCAGCAAACTCTGCAGTCAAATGTTTGCCATGTCCTCATCTATCGCGAGTGCAGGATGAACGGGAGGTGGGGAGT